GTACCATTTCCTGTCGGGCACGTCAGGTGGCGACTGTTGTACGCTCTAATAACCTCTCATGAGCGATACGTCTAATGTCCTCTAGGTGTGAGACCACTAGCGTGAAATAAACAATAACGATGAGATTTTGTACCACACAGATAGGTGAAATCTTGTATTGCAATCGAGGTCCGTATAGAATGGAAGGTAAAATAATTGATTCGCGATCAATATCTGGTTTAAATCTTCAACACAGAGAGAGGGAGAGGTCATCCAGGGATCAGGTCCTGGCTTGTGGCCACTTAGAACGATATTTTCTATTGCGATTCTATTTTTTATACTCTTCAGCTGAGGGTGAAGTACATTGTTCTGTTTATAATGCTACGCTCTTCAGCTGAGATTGCAAGGAGAGATTGAAAGATCCTGGATTCTCTTGCTAGGCCTAAGTCCGTTCTCCTTACCACCTACGTTGCTTTATCGAACATGTAATTGTGATACACAGGTAATTTCGGATAAATATGACTAGAGAACCTAGTCAAATTAGAACTCACAAGTTCACAGATAGCTCTTTGATATTGGTAAGGGTAGCTTGCCGATATTTACATGTGGCCAAGTACACATTGAATAAACTATCAAATATTTTGTAGTGCTAGACTCCTCCGGTTCTTCGCGACGACACCGCTTCCTCCTACGTGGATCACCTACCCTGGTGCACTTATATACATGAAGATAGAATTTTGAATAGCGCTAAAACTTAGTTTCATAATAATGTGCATCTCTGGGAATACTTCCAATAATAACACGACAGAAACGGCTCTGCGTTTTATTTATGTTTAAAGGAAAATTACATATTGGTCTATTCTGAAAATGAAGAAATCTATATTTAAATATTCAAATAATAAAAACCATATATTGTATTAAATAAAAAATGCTTTTTCCTATATGTATTATTATATGTTTATACAAAAATGCAATATCTTGATAAGAGTTAGCGTCTAGTCAACCGATATATTGCAAATAAAGCTTTTATTCAATACAATATGTGCCTTTTTATTATATTTGTCTATTTCACATTAATTAGGAAGATATGAATACAATATTATATCAGTGACTTCATCCATACCTCATCCATACCTTGTTTTATTATTAAGATGGAAATATTAGGCTTAAGAGGATAAGTTAAGAAAAAGACATCTCCTCTTATCGTGAAACTCAAAGTTGCTGATGGCTTGCGCCATCTATCGGAATATATATCAACTATTCTCGTTGAATTTTAATTATTCCAGAATTGGCCAAATAGCCATTCTTGATTAATCAAGTAAAGCTATCCACAGACGCGTTTCGAGCTGTTAGCACTTATCAACGTGGTACAAGCTGTACCTCAACGACCAAAAAACTGGTCATACAGGCATCCTGAAAAATCCAATATCCAAATATCCAAAAAGCCATCAGCAACTTTTAGTTGCACGATAAGGAAATGCCTTTTTCATAATTTATGTACCTTATCCCAGTACAATATCACATTTGTACTATTTTTTCACATAAAGAGGATAAATTTATTCAAAAAAACATTTATTTAATAAGTCTATAAATATCAGGCACGATTTTTTTAGTTTTTCTCCTGTATAAGGGCTTTCGTTCCCGAAAGCTATAGACTTATTAAATAAATGGTTTTATGAAGGAACCTATCCCAGTAAGTCTAAAGTTACCACCTTCATCTCTATAATTTGTCAAATTGTCATCCGTTTAGGTCAGGTATGCAATAGATATATACGGAACATATTATAATAAACACACACAAACTTTCCAACTAGCTTTATATACATGTAAATGCTTATAAGGTCCTGATAACAAATTATAATAAGTGAAAAATAGAACCAAAGTGAATTTGTACTTTAATCAGGAAGATATATTAAGTAAAAAGACATTTCCTTATCGTGCAACTGAAAGTTGCTGATGACTTGCGCCATCTATCAGAATAACGCGTACGGTTAACTTTTATTGATTAAACAAGAAACGGTATTTGGCCAATCCTGGAATAATTGAAAATCAACGATTAGTTAATATTTATAATCAACAAAATGAAAGAAGACGAGTTTCTTTTATTTTGTTGATTATAATATACCTTGCTAAGAAGAATCTCTTATTTCTTATTAATAATAGTTGATATTTATTCCGATAGATGGCGCAAGCCATCAGCAACTTTAAGTTGCACGATCAGTAAATGCACTTTTCCCTGAATTATAATAAGATTGATTGATTATGAATATATATCTTCATCGAGTATTATGATATGTGATAGATTTTTATAAGTGTTTTTATAATGTGGACATATGTTATCATATAGATTGCCAGTATTTGAAGTCTAAGGCCGCATTGATCATAATGCCAAATATTTGGGAGATTCCTATATACCAGATCTATTCTCACTGATCTTGATTGATGATTGCGTGCGTGCTTGGTATAAGAAGTAACTCGTAGATACATCTCTGTAGATGGGGTTCGGTGAATTATTCTGTAGACACACAATCCTCCTGGTTCGCAGGGAATATAGAGTGAATTTATATATATAGACGTATATCCACCTCTACATGTCTGTATCTCAGTAGGTAAATGTAGACATATAACTACCTCTACATGTCTTCAACTCAGTAGGTAAATGTAGACATATAACTACCTCTACATGTCTGTAGCTCAGTAGGTAAATGTAGACATATAACTACCTCTACATGTCTGTAGCTCAGTAGGTAAATGTAGACATATAACTACCTCTACATGTCTGTAGCTCAGTAGGTAAAGGTAGACATATAACTACCTCTACATGTCTGTAGCTCAGTAGGTAAATGTAGACATATAACTACCTCTACAGGTCTGTAGCTCAGTAGGTAAATGTAGACATATAACTACCTCTACATGTTTGTTGTACTGACTGTGACCCTTTAAAACGTTAGTCAATGTTTCAATCAACTAAAATACCAAATCGCGTGACTGAACGACCTGATGGTAAAGTTGATTCTGAATCAAAAATTGAACTTTTTCTCAACCTGTTTATTAACCACTATTTATTTCTTTTCTGTCGAAAATGAAATGTATTATTCGGATTTGTTTAACCACAATTAATGAAATTAGAAAATGCAAAAAATTATTGAAATTTGGAAATTATGACTTTTATATTCGCCATGATGAATTGAAATCATAATTAACATCTATTTAGATGCATGTCTTCATAAAGACAATTTACTATAGAAATTATTTTTAAACCTTGTTTAATATCTTACGTTGTTTGTTTTCTACCCACACGTATTTGTGGGGTTTGCCGAAATTAAAAAGAACAATTTCTTCGTTGAACTAAAACCATTAAATTTTAAAATCAAAAATATTCTCTCAAAATCTTACAAATAGTAAAAAGCGAATTGCAACATATTTATTCATTAAAATTCGGTTAAAGTTTTCGAGATTGTATCCCAGGATTACTAAATTATCAAATAGCCACACTTTTAAAATTATATAAATATCAAAAATATATATAATTAATATAATCAGAAAAGGAGAAAACAGATTTCAGAATCTTTTTTTCTTGTACTTATATATAAATTCATTATACCTTTCCATTTTTGCAAATGTAAACCTGACACTTTGTATTTTTACTACTGAAATGTGGAACATCTCTATATTATTTATCTCTACTTCTATGCTATGATTTTTTGCTGAATAATGATATATGCTAATGCCATGATATTTCCTTATATTCAAAAGAACCACGCAATAATTAAGGCAACAATTGATATTATTTTATTGTTTAAAACTCTATTCTATTGCAATAAAAGGATTTTGAAAACGGTTAAATGGTTCTAAATAAACTCTTATAATCAAAATATAAATGTAAATTGGTACAAGTCGAAGCGCATAGTAAATAAAACGATACGAAATTTGTTTTAGCTTGAATGGAAAACTTTCATGTGTAAGCTCTTCGTGAGAATTCCTTTTTATTCCAATTGTAGGGTCAGTTGTAGAGCTAAAGAATGATAGCTCGGCGCTATATATACACATATACATACAGCTTTATTAAGACCTCCGGTCTTATACATATTCACCGCAGGAAAGGAAGCATAGATGGAGATCCTATATGCTAACAAGGTAAACGCTTTGAATGCTGTTTTATTTACTCTTCGTTGGGACTCTATATTTAGAGATTATATAGAAACCTGAAGTAATGCTATAGCGGTTGAAACCTTGCTGGTAAATCTAATAAACGGTATTCTATGTAAATTATTCATTTACTACACTAAATCTCTCATTTTGACCATCCTTTTAATTCAAATTAAAAAGTACACAACCTCTGGAATATGTAAAGTGATGAACTACAATTAATAATTGAAATATATCTTATAGAGTGTTAAAAATGTTCGGTTTTTATTTTTAAATTTTCTCTATTTTATTTTGTTTTTTCATCATTTATTTACGGAGTATTTATTTCTATTGAATTCATTTTACTGGAATGGAAATCCATGCCTAGAGGCTATAAGGAATTTATTTTAAAAAATAATAAACACAGCTAATTATATTCTTGTAATTCTAAGAGATTCTCGTATGTCTTTTAAAAGGTGAAAATTTCAAGCTTACAGATAAAAGTTTCTTTTAAAACATTTTAATTCATAAATCTTCAGCTTTCGGGCATGAAAAATCTTTTACAGGGGAAAAAACGCTGAAATATATTGTTAATAGGACAAATGAAGAGCTTTCCTACCCGAGCTAGAGAGAGATTTGTGAATAGAAATGTTTATTAGAAACTTATCTTCTGAATCCTGATTATCATCTCAATATTGATACAAGGATTACTTTAAAATACAATATAACGCGGCTTATGATTGTAAAACGAAAATTGCCATTATACCGCGAATGTTTCTTTTAAACGAAAAATCGAAATTTATTTTAAAGAGAAATAGCGATTATTTCTAACTTTAAGGATGAAGTATGATAGGATGAATTGTGAAGAGTAATGATAAACGGAAAAATAAAAGTGTCCAGGGATGGGAATCGAACCCACAGTGTTCCGCTTACCGGGCAGATGCCATGTCCACTAGGCTACCCGGAACACTGTGGGTTCGATTCCCATCCCTGGACACTTTTATTTTTCCGTTTATCATTACTCTTCACAATTCATCCTATCATACTTCATCCTTAAAGTTAGAAATAATCGCTATTTCTCTTTAAAATAAATTTCGATTTTTCGTTTAAAAGAAACATTAGCGGTATAATGGCAATTTTAGTTTTACAAGGATTACTTTATTGAACTATGTCTTTTTGTCAGCTTCAACTTTGAATTAATTACGAATCATATTTTTGTTTATCGCACAAATATAGAAATTTATATATTCAAATACATATATCCCACACAGTGAATTTATCCTATATACTATTCATGGCATATATATCTTATCAATAATGACCATTGTAGAACGACATTTGAAAATTATCCCGTATGTGTTTATTTTAAAGGAAAAATTTGAAATTTATTTCAAGGAGAAATAACGATTATTTCTAACCTTAGGGATAAAGTATGAAACGATGAATTGTGAAGAGTAATAATGAACTTTCATACTTAATCCTTAAGGTTAGAAATAATTGTCATTTCTCCCCTTAAAATGAATTTCGAATTTTTTCTTTGAGAGAAACACATGCGGGATAATTTTCAAATGTCGTTCTACAATAATAAGCACATTATGTTGTATAATAAATTACTTTTAAAATTACATTTGTTGTAGGTATGTATGTTATAATACATTGTTGAGATAAGCTTTTGTTTAGGACATATGAATATTATGATATTGGTATTGTTACAGTCGTGAACATCTTTAGAAATACAATAAAATCATATTATATCATATTTTGATTTAATTAATATGATAACATAATTGAAGATGAAATAATACCTGATTCAAGGCGTGAATAATAAATAAAATAAAATATTACTTATTTACATATCTACAGAAAGATTTAAGCCGGCCAACGGGAAACAACAACAAATGAGTGTTATATAGGGAAAGCCACGATATCTGGCGGTCGACTTTATAGAGTATTTTTGTTCTGATAAATTATAATTTTGAAAGAAAATAACATTTTTATATAACATATATAAATGAAAGAATGATATAGAATATAAAAAGGTCAGGTGTTGATATTAAAAATGGAAATGGCATATCCTGACCAGGAGCACATGTATGCCTTGTATGCCTATGTATGCCTTCTGTAAAGCACATGTGCTCCTGATATGCCAAGATATGCCATTTTTATTTTTAATATATATATATTTAAAACGGACATACATTACATATATTAAACATTACATCGGCATCGGGTAGAAAACAATCTAGTAATAGTTAGTGACAAACTAAATTCTCTCTCTGTCTTCATCATTAATTCAAACTACCACTGTTAAGCCAACCGATTGATTAGCAATTCACTATTAGTTAAGCCTAATTCTGTTTTCTTCCACTTTATTCCTTAATGACCCTAACCTCAAATTAGTATTCTCAGCTTGTGGTTCTTTTTGTTTTCAATTTCCCTGCGGTGCTGTTGTCATAGCATCTGCGGGACTTACATAATTTCCACATTCCTTTACTGACACTACGATATTTTCGAATTATCTATAGAAGAAACACATTTCACATAGAAGAAGACAATAGTATAAGATTTCGGGCAAGATGCCTCTTTACGGGTACAAAATGACACTCTTCTTCTTCTTCTTTCTTAGTAGAAAGGCCCTCAGTAATCCTCAGTAGAGAAAGGCATTGAAGAGGGAGATATGAAGATACCACGTGGCCCACCCTCAGTAGCGGGAGGCATTTAAGGAGGGGGTTATGGAGAGACCATGTGGCCCACCCTCAGTAGAGGAAGGAATTGAAGGAGGGAGATATGGAGAGACCATGTGGCCCACCCTCAGTAGAGGAAGGCATTGAAGGAGGGAGATATGGAGAGACCATGTGGCCCACCCTCAGTAGCGGGAGGCATTTAAGGAGGGGGTTATGGAGAGACCATGTGGCCCACCCTCAGTAGAGAAAGGCATTGAAGGAGGGAGATATGGAGAGACCATGTGGCCCACCCTCAGTAGAGGAAGACATTGAAGGAGGGAGATATGGAGAGACCATGTGGCCCACCCTCAGTAGAGGAAGGCATTGAAGGAGGGAGATATGGAGAGACCATGTGGCCCACCCTCAGTAGAGGAAGGCATTGAAAGAGGGAGATATGGAGAGACCATGTGGCCCACCCTCAGTAGAGGAAGGCATTGAAGGAGGGAGATATGGAGAGACCATGTGGCCCACCCTCAGTAGAGGAAGGCATTGAAGAGGGAGATATGGAGATACCACGTGGTCCACCCTCAGTAGCGGGAGGCATTTGAGGAGGGGGTTATGGAGAGACCATGTGGCCCACCCTCAGTAGAGGAAGGCATTGAAGGAGGGAGATATGGAGAGACCATGTGGCCTACCTTCAGTAGAGGAAGGCATTGAAGGAGGGAGATATGGAGAGACCATGTGGCCTACTTTCAGTAGAAGGAGGCACTGAAGGAGGGAGATATGGAGAGAACATATGACCCACCCTCAGTAGAGGAAGGCATTGAAGGAGGGAGTTATGGAGAGACCATGTGGCCTGCCCTCAGTAGAAGGAGGCACTGAAGGAGGGAGTTATGGAGAGACCATGTGGCCTACCCTCAGTAGAAGGAGGCACTGAAGGAGGGAGATATGAAGAGACCATGTGGCCTACCCTCAGTAGAAGGAGGCACTGAGGAGGGAGTTATGGAGAGAACATATGACCCGCCCTCAGTAGAGGAAGGCATTGAAGGAGGGAGTTATGGAGAGACCATGTGGCCCACCCTCAGTAGAGGAAGGCATTAAAGGAGGGAGATATGGAGAGACCATGTGGCCTACCCTCAGTAGAAGGAGGCACTGAGGAGGGAGTTATGGAGAGAACATATGACCCACCCTCAGTAAAGGAAGGCATTGAAGGAGGGAGTTATGGAGAGACCATGTGGCCTACCCTCAGTAGAAGGAGGCACTGAAGGAGGGAGTTATGGAGAGACCATATGGCCCACCCTCAGTACAAGAAGGCACTGAAGGAGGGAGTTATGGAGAGACCATGTGGCCTACCCTCAGTAGAGGAAGGCATTAAAGGAGGGAGATATGGAGAGACCATGTTACCCACCCTCAGTAGAGGAAGGCATTGAAGGAGGGATTTATGGAGAGACCATGTGGCCCACCCTTAGTAGAAGGAGGCACTGAAGGAGGGAGATATGGAGAGACCATGTGGGCCACCCTCAGTAGAGGAAGGCATTGAAGGAGGGAGATATGGAGAGACCATGTTACCCACCCTCAGTAGAGGAAGGCATTGAAGGAGGGAGTTATGGAGAGACCATGTGGCCCACCCTCAGTAGAGGAAGGCATTGAAGGAGGGAGATATGGAGAGACCATGTGGCCCACCCTCATTAGAGGAAGGCATTGAAGGAGGGAGATATGGAGAGACCATGTGGCCCACCCTCAGTAGAAGGAGGCACTGAAGGAGGGAGATATGGAGAGACCATGTGGGCCACCCTCAGTAGAGGAAGGCATTGAAGGAGGGAGATATGGAGAGACCATGTTACCCACCCTCAGTAGAGGAAGGCATTGAAGGAGGGAGTTATGGAGAGACCATGTGGCCCACCCTCAGTAGAGGAAGGCTTCGAAGGAGGGAGATATGGAGAGACCATGTGGCCCACCCTCAATAGAGGAAGGCATTGAAGGAGGGAGATTTGAAGAGACCATGTGGTCCGCCCTCAGTAGAGGAAGGCATCGAAGGAGGGCGATATGGAGAGACCATGTGGCCCGCTCTTAGTAGAGGAAGGTACTGAAGGAGGGAAATATGGAGAGACCATGTGTCTCGCTCTCAGTATAGGAAGGCATTGAAGGAGATAGATATGGAGAGACCATGTGGCCCACCCTCAGTAGAGGAAGGTATTGAAGGAGGGAGATATGGAGAGACCATGTGGCCCGCTCTTAGTAGAGGAAGGCATCGAAGGAGGGAGATATGAAGAGACCATGTGGCCCGCTCACAGTAGAGGAAGGTACTGAAGGAGGTGGAGGAGGGTATATATATACGTGAATGATGATATTGTATCCTAGAATGAAGATTTTAAAAACTCTGATTCTCTCCACCCCCATCAATTATATTTTTCGCATTCAATCAATTAGATACCTGTTGTAACATTCATGTAGTGTAGCGCAACAATTAGTGAGAAATCTATTTATCGCATGTTGTAATTAAACATTAATTGGGGGGAATCTTAATTAGAGCTACCCATCGTTGCTAAATAATTTCTGATTAGGTTCCAGTCGTTTGGGGAATGTTGCCATTAAATATATGGACTTAGTAATGCTTTAATTTAACGCATGTACGCTTACATATGGAATTATATCGAAATTACAGTTAAAATGTACGTAATTAATAAATGTATATAAGAGGTAGCTAGGTTTTGAAACCTCTTATTTAATTCACTGGTATTTGTGATTATATATATATGTTATAAAAATAAAGATGAATGAGATTTCTGTTGTATTTTGATATTAATTACTTCCAAGGAATTATTGATCATTTGCTTGATTTTGGTATGCAGTCGTGGAAGGGATTATAATGAAATTAGTTATTAAAAATAGCTTTAATTGCGCTAAAGGAATATATGAAAGAACATGGTTTGATAAAATACCGCCTGGCTTAAGGCGAGTAGAACAAGGAAAACAAAAGATTATTTACATAATGTACAAAAGTTTTGAGCCGGCCAGCGGGGAACAACAACAATGAGTTTTTATAGGGTAAGCGTGACCTCTGGCTGTCGATTTAACATAGTTTTTGTATCTATGAAATATATAATTTTAAATAAAATAATATTTTAATATAACAATTTTAAATAAAATATTTTAATTTAACATTTCCCCCCTGTGAAGAGAATAATATGGGTTCATTCAGAGTAAAGTGATGAAAAATATAGTTAAAAAAAAAAGATAAAATGATTTATAGAAATAAAAAAGGTGAGGTGATATTCACTTATCATATTGGTTTTTGGATGGGA